GTGAAATACCGAATGGTCGGTCTGACATCTGTTAAGACCAAATTTTAATGCCGCCTCAGAGAATTTTCCAAACCAAGCCCGTGGAGATTGTTTCAATCCATACAGGGCCTTCTTAAGGCGACAAACAGTGTGAAGATACTCCCCCTGAGAAACAAACCCAGGTGGTTGCTCCATATAAACCTCTTCTGCTAAGTCACCATGCAAAAAGGGATTTTTAATGTCTAACTGAAATAGAGGCCAATGTCTATTAGCAGCAAGAGAAATCAAAGCACGAATAGAAGAAATCTTAGCAACAGGGGCAAACGTCTCATCATAGTCAATACCATAAGTCTGGGTATAACCTTTGGCAACAAGACGGGCTTTTAAACGCTTAACGGACCCATCTGGAAGATACTTCACAGTGTATACCCAGCGACAACCAACTGGTTTGACATCGGAGGTAATGGAACAAGATTCCACGTGCCATTCTGATGCAAAGCATCCATTTCATCTTGCATTGCTTTCCTCCAGCCCGAATTAGACAAATCATCCTGCACAGTCTTAGGAACAAATGTAGTAGACAATTGAGAGGAAAAACATGAGAAGGATGGCGATAAGGAATTATAAGAGACATAATGAGCAATGGGATGATTAGTGACACACGAGCGAGTACCTTTATGAAGTGCAATAGGCAAGGAATCAGACACAGTGAACTATGTTGGATCCAAAGACTCTGAAGACGATGGAGGAGGCACGATAGTAGATGGCTTTGGTCTTCGAGTGTACACCTGTAACGGGGCAGGCAAAGGAGATTTAGGTTGCAGAGAAAGTGAGGGAAAAGGAACCGCAGGAAGAGGCGACTCAGGAGTAATATCAAGAATTGAATCACTATCTGAAAAATATGGTATGGACTCACAAAAGGTCACATTCGCGCTAATAAAGTACCGCTGAGAAACAGGACTATAGCAGCGATAACCTTTATGAGAACGAGAGTATCCAAGAAATACACACTTTGTGGGACGTGGGTCAAGTTTATCAAAACTAGGACCAAGATTGTGGACATAACATACACATCCAAACTCTAGGAGTAAGAGAAAACAAAGGAGAATCAGGAAATAAAATAGAATGTTGAGATTTGCCATCTAATACAGATGACGGCATACGATTAATAAGATAACAGGCAGTAAGAACAACATCACCCCAAAATTGTTTAGGCATGCGCATATGAAACAAAAGAGCACGGGTTACTTCTAAGAGGTGTCGATTCTTACGTTCTGCAACTCCATTTTGTTGAAGAGTATAAACACATGAATTTTGATGAATAATTCCTTTATCACTAAGATATGTATCAAAGGGGGTTGAAGAATATTCCTTAGCATTATCAGAATGTAAAATACGAATTGGGTAGCCAAACTAAGTTTTGATTTCTTTTCGAAATTTTTGAAAAATTAAAAATAACTCAGAACGATCTTTCATCAGAAACAACCAAGTTAGGCAAGAATAATCATCCACAAATGTCACAAAATAATGAAATTTATTGATTGAAGAATGCTTTATTGGACCCCACACATCTGAATGAACCAAATGAAAGGGACTAGAGACACTATTATTAACCCTAGATTTGAAAGACACGCGATGGTGCTTACTAAGTTGACAAACTTCACATGACAAGAATTTCAAATTACTAAGACTAGGAACTTAATGCTGCAAAACTTGAAGTGACGGGTGACCAAGACGACAGTGCCACTGGAATGAAGACAGAGAAGACTGAAGAGCCACAGGATAAGGTGCCAAATCAAAGTAATATAAGCCACCAACTTCATACCCCGTACCAATCTTCTTCTTCGTCTTGAGATACTGAAACACACAAGAAGTAGGATAAAATGTAACAGAGCACTGAAGAGATTTAGTGAGCTTACTGATAGACATTAAATTAAAGGGAAACTGAGGAACATATAAAACAGACGAGAGAGACAAGGAATCACTAAGTTGAGTTGTCCCCAAACTTGAAACCTTAGCGAAGGAACCATTAGCAAGGGTAACTCTTTAAGAAGGAGGTACAGAATTAAAATCAGATAGAAGAGAAGAACATCCAGTCTATGATCGGATGCTCCAGTGTCTATGATCCAAGGACTGCGAGTGGAAGACAATAGACATGTGTGTGCAGTACCTGACTGGCAAAGGTAGCTGTGGAAGATGAATTAGATGCTTGCTTATAAGACAAAAACTGAGTATACTCATCACGTGGAACATAGACCGTATCTGATTCAGATACGTTGTGAGATCCAAAAGCAACATCATTTGGAGAGGAGGAAACTTGATTTGCATAACTAGATGGTTTGCCATGAATGTCCCAACAAAAATTCACAGTATGATTAGAAAGGCCACAATGAGTACATTTTCGTGACTCCCTGTCACGGCCACGGCCTCCCCGTGAATCACGACCGCCACGTGTGGAACGTCCCCCACGACCTCCACGGAAAGTAGTATTTTCACCCTTTGAAACGAACAAATGCTGAACGCTCACCACTTTGCCCAGTATTCAAAGTTGAGGTATCACTTACAAGTGTAGCGTACTGAAGTCGAGAAAACACATCAGCAAGAGATGGAAGTGTGGGATTGCCCATAATCTGTGAACGAAAAGACTCATAAGCTGATGACAAACCAGTAAGAAAACAGACAACATTAAAGTCCTCACGTTGTTGTTGCATACCTCGAACATCAGCAGTAATGGGCTGATACATATTCAGCTCCTCATAAACTCCTATAACTTTGGAATAATACTGTTCTATACTGTGATTACCTTGTTCAAGATTGAAATACTGCTTACAGAGCTCATAAACACGAGTGATATTACCTGTCCCAGAATACAGTTGGTGCAATCTGTCCCATATATCCTTGGCAGTATCCAAATAAAGTAAGGTTGAACTGATTTGGGGTTCAATACTGTTTATCATCACAGAGATGATCTGAGCATCTTCCTTTTCCCATGCATCAAAAGAAGCATCAGCTTCTTTGAGTTTCTTTTTAGTTAGATGAGTACCAAGGCCTCTACCTTTGAGAAAATTTTTAACAGATTTAGCCCATAGTATGTAATTCTTCCTATTGAGTTTAACTGAAGTCATGGGAGAATGAAGACCGGATGTGGGAGAAAACTAATTTGAACTGGACGCCATGTTAAACCCAGCAAAACAGAGAAGAAAAAGAAGCAGAATTTGTATTCTGGCCGAACCTGGCAAACGGGCCAAATCTAGTCAAACGGGCTGGATCCAGTCGAACAGGTCGGATCCGGTCAAACGGGCCGGTTCGGGGCTATCCCAGGTTTAGTAAACCAGGGTTAGAATAGCTATTCCAGGTTTAGTAAACTAGGATTGGAATAGCATAACCGTGTAGCCAAACAGGGTCTTCTTCTTCACACCTTCACAAACGCCGGTGAACAAAGCAGCGAAGACAATGGCGACCCAGTCAAAATCAACGGCCGAATCAATAGGCAGCTACCTCTGCAACTTCCGGCCAAAAAAAAAAACCCGCGATTCGATGAACCTCACCTTTGTAAATCAAGACGGTAGATTTGATGACGAACTCGCTGACAACCAAAAAGAAGCTGCCGGCAACGACGATGACGAACGATGCAGATCTGACGACGACGAATGACGATGCAGATCTAATGAAGGTGAACGAGGAGCTACTGGCGACGAACGAAGAAAGTAGGAACACCAACAATTGCGATTCCGATCGTGATTCCGATCTTAAACCACACAACTACAGACCCTCACACCCATGAATTCGTGTAGCTTTGATACCATGTTCATAATCATAAGAGACAGAGAGAAAGAGAGAGAACTTGTATCTATATTTTTCACACTAACAACCTAATAAGCCTATGTAGGCTTATATAAAGTACAAGTCACCTTAATAACACAAGGGCCCTACCAACATTATGTAATTACATAATGGCCCAACACACACACACACACACACATATATATAACATTCTAACAATTATATACTTGACTTGTGGATGTCATACGTACAATGTTAATTTTAAATGTCATACTGCAAGTCACTTTTGGAGGGCCTGAGATGCATTGGCCATGTATCCAAAATAATGATCCTTTTTTTTTTCTTTTAGTATATGGACACATATATGAGTTTTTGTGTTTGTGAAGTGTCGATATCCAGCATGTGTCCTGCACTATTAGGATACTTTTATAGAAGTGTTCTCGCTTCTTAGGAATGGATTAGTTAATTTATTTGAACCTTTAAATTGATTATTGAGTCCTTCTATGATATGTGATGTGTGCATGTCATGCCCAACAAGTAGACATTTCTCCATTAATATGAAGGTACTAAGATTAGAAAATGTTTCCAGTTTTCAGAAGAGAAATCCGGTGTGTCAATCTTTGTGCTCTTATTCTTAGATAACTTTGACCTATCTCCTATATTTGTACTTCCAAACTTGTCATGCATTTAGAGAAGTAGTTTCTTAGGTCATTATCATCATTGCCTTAATTCCATATGTATGGGGTCGGCCACATGAATTCTCTTTTTTCATTTTTTTCTATTACAACTTACAAGCCATACGTGATACGTCATGTCTTTTTGTTTTTAAAGGAAAAATTAATTTCAAAATTTGTAGTAAGCATTGTTTTTGGTATAGAATAACTCAAACTTCGAAAAATTCCAAACATGGCTAATTCACGGAATCCAGAGAAGTGGATAAATGCAGTGCCGAATCCAGAGAAGTGGATAAATGCAGTGCTTATTATTACTTTTATTATTTATTTACTTATATATTTTAGGGATATAATTTTGTTTCATTGTTTTGATAAGCTGTTGCATAGAGTTGCCTATCTAAAATATTGCACTTCACCTTCTTGACATAGTGGGCTCCTTTTCTCTATATAGATTAATGCTGTGCTTAATTTCAAGGAGAAAGACAGATAGAGGCACATGCAATGCTGGTTCTGTCTTAACTGTTATTCGGTCTAACATCGTACCCTTTCTTAAATACATGGCAGCAAATACTTCAAGCTGTTAACACCATACACGAGGAACGTATTGTGCACTCAGACCTGAAGCCAGCTAATTTTCTTCTTGTAAGAGGTTCACTAAAGCTTATCGACTTTGGTATTGCTAAAGCCATAATGAGTGACACAACAAACATTCAACGGGATTCTCAGGTTACTCCATGTCTACTTTTCCTTTTGCTAATATTTACTCTTACAAATAGAATATAGCTCCTCTTTTGTTTTGTTCCTCTGTGATGTGAAATGACCAATTACATAGTGCCACATCATCATGATACTTGGGCATTTTCTGTTATTACTTGGAAAAGCATAGGTATCCTAAATACTTGTTTTTCAGTTGTGCTGAGAAAGGCACCAGAGTTTTCTAAAATGTGACATGACATATTGTGATTGGTAACCTGATGAAGGAATTTATCTTATGATATAATATTTGGTATACATTTCTGTCTTATTTAGTGAGGATATGATTGTAGGTGGGTACATTGAGTTACATGTCCCCTGAAGCGTTCATGTGCAACGAGACAGATGTGAATGGAAAAACCATAAAGTGTGGTCGTCCATCTGATATCTGGTCGCTTGGTTGCATCCTTTACCAAATGGTATATGGAAGAACACCTTTTTCAGAATACAAGACTTTCTGGGCAAAGTTCAAAGTTATAACAGATCCAAATCATGAAATTACGTACGAACCAGTTTCCAATCCATGGCTTCTTGATCTTATGAAGAAGTGTCTAGCATGGGACCGGAAAGAAAGATGGAGAATTCCTGAGCTTCTTCAACACCCTTTTCTGGTTCCTCCAGTCCCGCCCCCTCAAGCTTCTCCTCAAGACCAAAGCTGTAAACTGCTTCAATTAATCACTGAATCTTGTACAAATGACCAGAAAGCTATGATGTTCTGTTCTCAACTCCAACAACTACTACGGGGCCCAAGACCAGCAATAACATCTCAGGTAACATTATCACGAGATCAACAATGTAAGTTGCTCTCCGAAATGTCAAACCTTTGCTTTCAACTCCAAGAACATCTGGCAAACTCAAAAAGAGATTAGATAAATAGAACTTGCCAACTTTGGCAAGTCAATTTTCTTAGGCCTGGAAGGATTTGTTGCTGGAGAATTTCTCGCTCGGTGAGCATCTTCCATTCCATTTATAGTGTTTCTTGTAACCATTTCTGCTGATTTATCATGTTATTTGAGGAAGAATATAGACTGTGTGGAGTTGTTGGGGGCATTTATCTGGCATGTCTTGTGTCCCTTGGAGCATAGTGTTCCTGTAATTTTCTGAATTGTTAGGGACTATGCAGTCCCCGGACAATGTAATCTTTCACAGAAAGGAATTTGGCTTGTACTGAATGCATGTATAAAGTAACAATGTTTTGATTCTTTTACAATCTATTGAGTGCATGTCTAAAGTCTAAACCTAACAATGTACACTATACATTTTGAACATTTGAACCAGTGAAATGCATCTGAGAATGCTTTTGGTTTTAGGGTTTTACTCTTGCAGTATGGACTAGTTCATAGAGCATCCAGTTTCCCGAGTTGGTGTGTCCGTATTCAAGTTCCCCTCCGCCTAGTTTGCCAGGATAAAATATAGTATATATATATATATATATATATGTGCTGGTATCTTTGCTTTTCAAAATACATTGAAATGGTTTAAATCCAGTAAATTTGCAGATAAATCTTGTAATGATTGAGCATTGCCTTGAACGAGTCTGGTAAAATTCAAGTCACAATCACCGAGAACTAACTAGTAAAATTTTAAATTATTATTCATAACGCCTATTCACCCCGTCTTATAGGTTTGGTTACTGCTAGCACAGTGACCTAGTAAGAGATTTGGGTACTGGTCCAACAACAATCTATCATGTTCCAATGTTATCTGGCCTTCACAACTTTCATTCTGGTTTAAACAACGAATTGTTGTTAAAAAGTGTTGAACTGTGTTATATCCAACTTTCAAATTCATGTTCTTGTCCATAATTTAAAAATAAAATTTAAAAGAAAATGCTAATTAAGCCTAATATGTTTGGCCGAAAAGGCCAATTGAATGATTTTTAGGCCGACCAGTTAAAGTGATTTCCATGACCTACAATCTCTGATTGGTCATCTACTCTTTATTTATTCAACCACTTGAATAAATCAAGGGCATATGTGCCCTCAGCTGACTTTTTCAACCTGCAGGCAGTTCTGTGCTATTAGCACTATGACTTAGCTAACACTTTTCAATGCTTCAAAATTTTCCGAATTCCCTATTTTATATAATACACACATTTAAAGTGACCATATTTGATAATCTTTGAAAATAATTTGAACGCATTTCAAAGTTTCCAACTTTTTAAATAAATAAATAAATTTGGCGTTATACAAGTAATCATAAGTGAAGCATATCGAACACAAATATAATTGTAATGACAAAGTAGTATAATCATATGATTTAACAAACAACATAATTCATTATCCAAATATGTCGCAATTGTGAGTTATGAGTTACGCGGTGCGGAAACTATTAGTTGATTAAGTCGTGATTAACTCTCTAAATGATTTAGAAGGGGTGAATAGGTCAATTTGTCCAATTTTTGTGAATAAATTTCTCACAATCATGATCAATTAACCATTCACAATCACAAGAATAATGAAAACAGGTAAAGTAAAGTTTGAGAGATGACACCGAAAAACCCTGATTGGCAGAAGAGACCAATCGTTGTGGAAAAAACCTTGAGAACTACGTCGTCCTGAGTAAAAAAGATCCACTATGTATGAAGCAAAGTACGATTGACTCTGAGTCAGACTCACATGCACTATATCACTCTACTAAAAACCAATTGCTAACAACCCCTGATTTTGCGACTCTCCCGTTCAACAACTCTCGACCTCAGGCTCACTCTTGATTTCTATAGAAAGATCGCCAGTAGATCAACCAACACTCCACTGAGTATCTTGATTCATTCAAAGTGTGATATTCTTCTCATTTGCTTCAAGAACTGATTATCTGAAGTTGGAAAGAAATTCTGTTGCTATGATCAACTTGTAATCTAATGTAAACTTCAGAGATGTTGATCAGTAGAAGAACATCACCCTAATCACTCTTGTGTTTAAGTGTATGCTCTCAAAATAAACAATCAAATTTATCTAAAAAATCTCTCAAAAAGCTTCAATGATAAGTAAAAGATGAAAACTTTCATTTTCAATTGAAGCCACCAGAATCTCTCTCTCTCGGGTTTTAGAAAGATGTTCAATATATATTAGAGAGTCCTTACAATAAGTGAAAAAAGCTTTTAAAATTGTGGAAGGACTGCCCAACAAGTTTGGGTACAAACAGGAAACTGAAAAGTTATCAAAATCTGTTTTTTCACACCCATATATACAAAAAATGCAGCCGGTTAGACTTAACGGTGCAACCGGTTGGATTTTTGCTAAGACATGTTTCTCGCCGGTTGGACTGTCCAGTGCAACCAAATAGATTTTTCCTAAGAGCTGCTTTTTGCTCATAAAATGCAACCGGTTCGAACATGAAGTGCAACCGGTTGGACTTCGCTGAATGACAATTCCAACCTAAGCAGGGATGGAGCCAAAATTTTTGGTCAAGGGGGGCACATTATACACTAAATGCATATAAATTAATATTTATGGAGTATATATACATAAAGAGAAATAGGTGGATATATATGGATAGAAATTGATATTTTTGAAATGAGGTAAATTAATAAATTACATATATAGAATATAATGAAACAATTTAAGAAAAAAAATTTAAGAAAACATATAGAGCATACAAGGGAAGGAGAAATTTGATTGGGGGGCACTTTTACACATTTTCAAAAATTATATACCTATTATAGGAAAATATATATATATAATAAGGAAAGAAAAAAGTCCAGCAGGGGCACGTGCCCCCCTGGTCCTATATTGGCTTCGTCCCTGAACCTAAGCTCTCATACCCAATCTTAAAAATATTCACAAGTGTTCCTCACACACTTGTACTTAGGGGAGAGTAAATAATCCGTCAATCCGGTTCGAACCAATCCGATCCGTGTGGTTCGGTTCGATTTTTAGATCTTATGATTCAGTGATGCTTTAGAAAAATAGCAATCCGCTATTCGTGGTTCGATTAACGGATTGGACCTGAGAAAATTGATCCGATCCGATCTGTTAACCGAACCTATCCGATCCGATCCGTTAATATATTAATATATTAATATATATATATATATATATATATATATATACTTACTGTATTTCTATTTTTTTTATTTTTTTATTCACTATTTAAGACTTTAAAAGTTAACCCTAGGTCACTAAAGTCATTAGTTATTACTGGTTTTTAATTACTAATTTGAGATTTTAATGGACCATAAAGTGTAATCATATTGGGCTGTTTGAAAAGCCTAATCCGTGGAAACCGAACTAATCCGATCCGTTATAACGTGTAATCATATCACTTTGGTTTAGATTAAAGGTCTCCACGGATTGGTTTGGTTTCAAATTTCACCAATCCGTGGGGACTGGATTGAATTGAAGTTTACTTCTAACCGAACCGATCTGATTCATGATTAGCCCTACTGGTACTACATGATATTCTCAACAGATGCAATAGTAAGAGATACTTGCTCTAGCTCCAATAGACCGAGACTTAAAATAAACAAAGATTACAACTCGATCATTAGGTTTTGACTCCAAAATTCACCAATATTATAATTTTATATCTCACAACAATAACTCTTACTATAGAATCAAGAAATGAATTAAAGTTCTATAATATTCTTTCTTAATAAATTTATAAAAATAAAATTTAAATTTATAAACTCGTTTTCCAGCTACTCTATTCTAATTTTTTAAAATTTAACGCGTATAATCTTCATGTTCCGTTCTGTATCAATCTACTAAAGTGATACTGTGTGTATGTATATTGTATGCATTATCTGTCTTTCCGCTCACCATCCTGCAAACCTTTTTCTTAGCATTTATATCGTGAAAGAAACTTTCCATATGTAACAGCCAGCACTTCAGAGGGTCGGTGTTATTTTCTGAAAGTATATTACCGTATTTTTCTGACTCTGATCTTCATACATGTACATCTTATACTATTCTTGTTTTTGTGGCTACAATGTTTGACTTGTTCAAAGGTTTACTCAAAGCTGGGTGAAAAACAACAAAAAAATAAAAAAAAAAATTGACCTATTGGGTGAAAAACAATTAAAGGATTTGTCAGAAGTAAAAAAATGACCATGAAGAAGATTCCTTAGTACATTCAATTAAAATAAAACTACCCACGTGCATAGAGCTGAAGATATGCATCATCTTTATGAAGAGATCTTCGGTAAACTATGATTGTAAATATATAGTTTGATCACGTTATCAATGTAAAGATTTGGAGTGTTCAAAATTGTTGATTTTGTGTATGGACGGAGAATCGGTTTCACTTAGACACGTAATTGTTGTTGGGTTTGGTTATGACTATAGTTAAAGTGTAATTGGTTCCACTTAGAAAATATTATTGAAAGTTACGAGAAATTTTTTTAATCAGTTTTAGAAGTCATAAGGCTTAAAAAAAAAAAAAAGGGCTTAAAATTTGGGGAAGAAATTGTAGTTACTATTTTTAGAGTTAAAGATGTAAAGAATTTAAGGGTGATTGAGTGTTGTGAGGATAAGAGGAGAAAATATGCAATTCCCGAGTATATACATATAATCTCAAAAGAAATGATGAGTGTGTGAGTAAAGTTTTGACATATGATTATATATTTTCTTTATTGATTCGTAATAATAGAAATCTCTCCATGAGCGTAACCTTAGAATTAGATAAATCATGTAAAATATTGTATTGTTCGTGAATGTGCATAATTATTATTTCTATATACGCTCGTTATGAATGTGTAATTTAATGAACAACAATAATCATTAAGTGAGTTAGAGGAAGTTAATTATCCCCAATAATATATTATACGATGGATGAGTGTTACATATAAACTAAAATCCTCTCCTTTTAAATATTGTCATGTTCCTTCCAATTAGTAATGAATCATAAAAAATATATATATAATATTTAATTTTATATCACAATATTTTTGTAACGTTTATCACTAAACTAAAGGCAGAATTTTGATCGTAACATACGCGTGTTGCATTCTGATGCAGCGTGCTTGGTGTTGATTAAAAAACAGCATAAAAAGGCGCTAAATGGGATGAGGGACAGGAGAGGACCGGGTCGAAATTAATTTATTATTCGTGTTGCATTTTATTCTCCAATCAATCAGACAATCGGTCAAACTTAATCACTTGTGTCTTATTTTAATCACATGAATTTCATTATTGATGATGACTACTATTTGCACAACTTTTGGCACTGTTGTGAAATAATGAATGGAATATTTTGGCCATACATCCCCAT